AGAATCCTTGTTAAACAAAGGAAATGTAGCCGCCGAAGAGGTAGTAGAATCCTCATTGATTAGAGGAAACATAGCCGTCGAAGAACTAGTAGAATCCTTGTTAAATAAAGGAAATGTAGCCGCTGAAGAGGTAGTATAATCCTCATTGACTAGAGGAAACATAGCCGCCAAAGAACTAGTAGAATCCTTGTTAAACAAAGGAAATGTAGCCGCCGAAGAGGTAGTAGAATCCTCATTGATTAGAGGAAACATAGCCGCCAAAGAACTAGTAGAATCCTTGTTAAACAAAGGAAATGTAGCCACCGAAGAGGTAATATAATCCTCATTAACTAGAGGAAACATGGCTGCCGAAGAGGTAGTAGAATCCATAATTTACCGCAACCTTCCCATTTCAAATCAAGTATAAAAGTTTACTTCTCTTAGACCAGATAAAAAACAGTATAGTGCTAATAACATAGCTGAAAAAAGAGCTACGATACTTTCAACGTGTAGAGTATTTTCTTTGATAATAAAGTTAAGTATACATTTTATTTTTATTTTTTTTATTATTTTTTATTTTTTATTTTTTAATTTTTAATTCTCCTAGCCAATGGCGTTTACCCATTATCCCTAACCAATTATTGTATATTCACGTGAGGTCACGTGATATTACTCCACTTTAGCCATCCCCTAGATTTGGTAATTATTTGTATTACAAAAAAGAACAAAGTAAAAATTACAAAATTCCTGAATGCTGAACAATTTACTTTTTCCTTTAGATGCTGAAATCCTTAGATTGATCAGATCAGAATCGAATCCTATCAAAGGAAAAGGTAAATATTTTTATTTTAATTAAATTAACAAATTAAACAATTAAAGTTACTTACCTTTTCCTTTTTGTAGGCATCAGAATCCTTGGATTGATCTGATCAGAGAGGCTCTAATAATTTTTTTTATTTTTTGAAATCGTTGTTCTTTTTTTTTTATATAATTTTAAATTTTTATAATTTATTTTAATTGCTAACCTTTCTATTTATTCATTTTATTTTTCGTCATTTGAATAATAAAAATAATAAATAAATGGCCTTACGATACAGAAATATTTTATAAGCAAATTTTTCTTATGAAAAACTTACTGATAAGATCTTCACAACCTTATTGGGTATCCGATGTAAAAATTATTCACTCCAACATGGGTTTTAGCTTAAATTTAATGTTAATTATTAATTATTAATAAGGCTTTTAATATTGCAAAACCATTGCTTATTTGCAGCTAATAAATGCTTATATAGCATTCCACATTTTATTTATTTACATTTAAATAATTTTTTAAATTATAATTTGTAATTAATGATATGTGAAATCCATTATAAGGATTGAATAAATCACCCAATTATACACAGTATGTAGATTATTTTGATAAGCAATCTATATAAAAATAAATGATCTACTATGAAAAATTTAAAATTATTGAATTCAAATTCGTCAAACTTTATATGGGGAAGACTAGATTGGTGTTATTTCTTTTGTATTTATAATTTATTAATATTTGTTATATTCCAATAATGTAATTAAAAGAATTGGAGAATATTATACATTTTTAAAATCCTTTATTTTATATAATTATATACTTACATATTAATGCAGATAAATATGAACAAATCTAAATTCAAAATGAATCCTAATTATTGTATCTTCATAATATTCATAATATATAAACAAATTTTGGTAGTCATGTCATTTTTATTTGGATAGTGCTAAAATAACCTTATCAAATACTTAGAACGTTATTTAATCTATTGAGAGAACAATGAATTAGTAATTCTACACGTGATTTACGCCACCAGGCGATTCACTTAACAATTTGTTGGATTTGAAGTTTGTCATTTTTTCAAGATGTATAAATAGGAATAGCAGCAATAAATGAAAAATATTAATGATTTTATAAAAGCCTTAAATTTCTGCATTTTCCTAAAATTACGTATTAAAGAAGAATTTATTAAAGTACAATGAATCCAAATTGCATGAAAAATATCTCTCGATAAAATAATAATAGTATAAAAAATTACATTGAAAAAGTTTTATATATTAATTAAAAATTGATTCTATATCACGCGCGCGGTATGTTGTTAATATGTTGTTATTCATTTATATTTTTATAACTTGAAATACTTCATATTCTTCTATAGAAAAGGAACCTTCAGACTCTCTGATTTCTTTTTCATAAGAAGTCATTTTACACCTAAAATTATAATGGTAAACACTATTAATAAAGGGAATTTCATATATAAGATCTGTTATACCAAATGATGGACCGTGAGTACGAGCATTCATTATAGCATATCTAGCGTCTTTTACACGACTTAAAATAAAATTTTCAATATTTTCTTTAACCTTAAAAGAAAATATAAAACTATCATTAGTATATGTGTAATTAGGTTTCCTGCGGTAATTCCATGCAATTGGATTATATCCTCCAAGAATTTCGTCTTCATCTTTTATTTTAAAAATCGTTACAGTATTAGTTTGATTATCGCAAATGTCATGGAACTTTCTAGATGTAAATCCATCCCGAGATCCACAAAGTAATAATTTAAATTCATATTGTATTTTTAATTCGTCTTTATCATCTACTCTATTAATCCATTTTGAGATTAATTCAGCATGTTTTTCTGTGATAATTTTTGAATTAATATTAGTTGAGCCAATCCTTTTAATTTCGTTAGTTAAGTGAGGTTTGGACACGTCACTTGGACTATAGTCATTATCCAAAAAACATTTATTTAAATCTACATATAATTCTTTTGGCAATGCTTTCTTGTATGGAAGAACTTTATTCAAAAATTCCCTGGCCGTTAAATTGTGGAATCTTATAAATGGAATGCATTGTTGTAATGTATTCTTCAAAACTTTGAAGTCATCTTTTGAGTAGCTGGAAGGATCCGAAGAAAGTTCCGGATTTTGAGCGATTCCCCATTTCAGAACATATTCCCAAACTTTAATTCCACTCATTGAAAGTTTATCGTTTTGAATAAGTGTTACTAAAGATTTTTCTGGAATTGAAACAGAATCAACGGAATTAAATAACTTTTCCGGTTCTTTTAACATTAAATTGGTACAAAAATTTTGAAGATCAATGAAAGAATCATGTTTTAAACTCGTCTGATATATCAAGTTGAAATTTTTTTCCATCCAATCTATATTTTCAATCAAAAATAATTGTATATGGACGATTAATTCTTGAATACTTAATTCACCAGCGGCAACCAAAATATAAATAATATCTGAAATATCATATCACTCCAAAGAAAGTCTTGCTCCGTTAATATACCTTTGAAATATAAAAACACACACACACAAAAAAAAATTTAAATAATTAAAATAATGTATTCTTAAAAAAAAAAAAAAAAAAAAAAAAATCTTTATAAATATTTAAAGATACCTCAAGATTACATGAAAACTTTCAGGTAGAATATTTTGTAATTTAATATGTACCAAAGTTCCATCATTTCTCTTTTTGTTGGTGGACAAAATTCTTTGCAAATAAGGAGAACGATGATATAAAATTATCATATGGGCACGAAATACTTTTACATATGGATCCATACCAACTTCAATTGTAACGTCATAATATTCATTATCCTCTAAACATTGAAGTAAATTTTGTGATAATTTTGGTAAAAACTTATCATCTGCCATTATAATTTTATTCTGACTTTGTATTAATGAGAAAAGAAACTCCCTTTTATATTGTGTGAGATGGAAATAAAAGTGATGATCAATGTCACATTGTTGCACAACATTAAATGTTTGTTGTGTTACCCGTAAAGGCGAAACAAAAAAGAATAAATTCAACTTTTTATCCAAAATTAAGCATGAACATTTGGTAACGGCGTTTAAATACTAAAAAACTTGATTAATGATGAACGAAATTGTCCAGCAACATCGATCCGTATGCAAAACTATCATGTCAAAGGTTTATCAAAAATATTACATTAGGATAAGATTTAATCAATTTACACGGGACGGGCCATCTGTAATTTAATCTTTTACAGGGGTAAAATCAAATTCTATTAAAAGTAAAGAAAATGTCTAATGAAAAAAAATTAATAAAAATATTATTTGGAATAAATATTTGGGTAAACAGTTATACTATGCCAATTTTTAAATTGCATAATCAGATTTTTTACTTTTCTTTTATCCTTGGCTAAATCTAACCAAATACGACTTGAATTTACTTAATAATATTGCAAACCAATATATAAACATTCATAGGCACAATAAAAAGTTTATCCAGAGTTTCTTTCTTATATTATTATTTAATGTATTTAGGTAGGGATGTTAATCGGTCCTTAACCGGTCCTTATGGTTTAAGAGGTTACTAACTCTAGAGAAGTCTAATTACTTATCCATAATAAGTAACCCCCATCAGAAAAAAAAAAATGTCAAATATTTTATAAAAAATTTCATTGACAATTTTGATGGGACCGCTAAGTATAGGACCGGTCCTAATCCTAAAATTTTAAATTTTTAAGAAACACTGGGATTCCAAGAGGGTTTATTTTTTTCATTAAGTAGCTTTATAATAGACATGTTTAATAATAAATTTGTAAGAATAATTTTTTGTAAACTTCTAGGACCGCTTAACATCCCTATATTTAGGAGAGCAAATTCTAAGATGACTTTCTTTGTGTATTCTCATATTCATAACGGTACCCGGACGCTTTTTTTATACAATTACTTTTTATGATGTATGACTAATTGCATATGTCCGTTTATTTATCATAAATAAAAACCAATAGTAAAAAAAAAATGTTTCTTAAAAAGTATATCGAAACTTTGTTTATGAGGCTTAAGGTATTTAATTCTCGGTTGCTTTTATTTGAAATAAGCAAACAATCCTCTTTTACTTAATAAAATTAAATAGCGCTTGTAACAAACTTTCCAGAAAACATTAATAATGAAGAATGGAATAAATGAATCCCTAAATTTTGGGATATTATTAGTGAATTTATATATAAAAATTATTTCAAGAATGCATGGTGATATGAATTACTAGGAAGCGAAAGATATCATGATTTATACTTTTTTATACCTTTATATTCGTTAAAACCTACACTTTTTTTTACAAATTATTTTCTTACATTAAAAAATTTTCAACTATTGTGTTTTCTAAAGAATAAAATGGTAATTAAAAAACTTTGCCATTTCATTTTTGAAATCAGCCAATTTTACTGAATTCCACATTAGAAAACCAACATTTTCAATTTCTGAAAAAAGATAGTTTTGGAACTTGGATATTCACCATCATTTAAATTGCAACAACTCGTTTCTTGTTTAAAATAAATAGAGGAGACTCGAGTGTTCCATTCCGCGATTATGATGATCAAAGTTGGTAAATGTTTTAAATCCAATTTGGCAAAATCTTTGATTCAATCTCTTAGGTTGAACGTTATCACATGAATTTTTTTCGTTGCATTGTTTTAAATACGAAATAACATAAAGAAAATTTTATTTTTTGAAAGAAAATATTGGTTCGGTGGTAAACAAAAGAGTTCGTCCCATAACTTAATAGATTCGATATATTTTATCCAAGGTTGATTGGAACACGTGATTATTAATTCGGAAAAAATTAATATTAAAGATAATCAAATAATTCATTAAAGCAAAGCTTGATGAACACAACCTCGTTTGTCATTTGTGTGTTTATAAATGCATCGTTTGAATTCTAGGCAAAATTGAACTTTTCTTCATAAGGAAAATAAAGAAAATGTAATACTTGTATTATTGTTCTGTATGAGTTACATCTTGAAGATAATAATTAACAACTTTACATGTTTAATTATGATACGTAACTTTCTTTCGTAATAATTTGACAATATTGAAATTATTAGCTTTTTTACCATATATGTAAATAAAAACTAGTTCAGTTGCTAGGTATTTTTCAGCTTCTGGAACCTTTATACTATAGTTTTTTTTTATCATAAAAATGCACGATAACTGTACGGAATTTTATTTATAGGATTGAGAAATATTAAAATAACTTAATTTAATTTGAAGTGCAATTTTTCATTTAATAAAACAATTAATTAGTGAACTATAAATTTTTTTGCAATGGAAATTGAAATTTTGTTAAAAAAATTATCAGAACTTGATTTTCCTAACTATCTTTCCATATTGAGGTAAAATTATCTAATGAAAAGCAAAATAAACTGTTCAAATTTATTTGATTTTGCACAAATTTTCGTTTAGAATAAATCCCTGAATTAAGGTTGTACTTTCACAAATTCGCATTAGATTTATCAAATCATTACTTGCGATGAATTTTTTGAGTCTAGGCCTTTGATTATTTGTCGACACTTTTTCGATTTCCGTTTAAAACTATTTAATTTGGTTCCGTATTTCGGCATGGTAAAACAAAAGTAAAAGAACAAAAACTAACAAAACAAATAAACATAAAGTGAAAATTGAATATTTATTTACAAAAGAAGGAGCGACGACAAAACAGCAAAAAACTTTCTGCAACGAGCATAGAGTTTGGAACCGGTGTTAACCCGTTTTTGAACCGAAGTCAAGTTAACCAAAACACGATTAAATCTAACTTAACGCAGGCCCGTCCTAAGAAAGATTTATACAACAATTTACTTAATACGATCCTTTGTGTAGTGTTATATTCAAGTCTATATTGAGACACGATAAATGTTATTTATTATTCAAGATTTCGGACGTCTCTTCTCAAGAATCGTCAACCTTATTCTTGAACAAAGCGAATTTTCGGGTTTATATACAAACTTTCTAAATACTATCTTTCTATTTTAAAATTATAACGAATATAATTAAAATATATAAATTAAAACGCAACTACTATAATTATTCTAACACACAGCTACTGCGTCATTAGTAAATTCCGATTATTTGTAACAGCGGTTAACTTTAAACCGGATGGTTTATAGATGAATTTTCAGCAGTTTCTAAAACTTAATTCTCTTCTCACACTCATATGATACAGTTCTATTTATTTTGTTAAGAAATGGAAGTGAAGGAATGATATATATGCAACATAAATATTTGGGGAACTTAAAAACATCAGACAATACACACAGACATAAATTTTCTGGTGAAAAGATGAGGGTCTTAAACAAGTTGAACCTGTCAGATCGTTCTCTGAAACCATTCAATATTATCAATGTATTTGCAAAACCCGAATTTCACCATGAACAAGTAAGACTTATTTTCAAGGATTTTATGAATGACCGTGACTTAAAATCGATGATGAGTATGTTATCTGTGCAACTGTTTTCAGTGATCACGTTATGTATAGTGGTCTAGGATAATAAGATTTTAGACTCCCATGCTAGCATTTTTTTTCAAACAGTAATTTATATAGTTCATGTTGGTAATTATATGAATTCGTTTTTAATAGACATACTGGTCTCGTTGGATAATATTCATCATGGATACTTTACAAAATCAATCTAATTATGCAACGTTTTCGAAAATGATCAAATCTTTAAAGTCGGATGATGCTCAAGACGCCATGAACCTACTTCGTATTAGATTTCTTGGTTCCCTTAATCCCGTGAGAATCATGGACTCTAATGAACTTGCATTAGTCAGGTTTGTGATATCCGAAGGTGTCTTGACACATGAAGGAGACTTTCGAAATTCAAAAATATTTAGAATCTCTTCTCCGTTAATAGATTTACTTCATCCGGCAATTTATCATTCCTGATTTATACACTTTATGTATTTTAGAGGAGGCACTCTACTACTTCGATAAAGACATAATCCAAATGGGATCATCTCGATCGTTCAAAATTGCGTCTGGACTTGTTAACGGAACAACATTAATAACTACAAATGTAATTTATGTAATTACACGATAAAACTTATTTCGACCCCTAAAATTACATATATGCAATAGCACCGAACCCAGATCATGTATTTCTAACTGATCTAACTACAATGTATTGCAAAGAAGGTAAACACACAGATGCACCCAATTTTCCTATTAATCAAACAGAACATATAGCCGAATGCATCGATCATTTGACTGGTAGGGAAGATGGAACATACGATGCATCTCATCAGTTCGGTTCAGGCAGCTT